TTGAACCAATAATTTTTGTCTTAAAAAATTATCACTTTACATTAAATGTTTCTTTAAAAAATTTAAACTGATAATTTTTGTCTGCAAAAATTATTGGCTTAAATTTTTAAACAAACATTTAATGTAAAGTGATAAATTTTGTCTTAAAAATTTATTACTTTACATTTTATGTTTGTTTAAAAATTTAAACGTATAATTTTTGCCTGCAAAATTTTTCACTTTGCATTTAAATGTTTCTTAAAAAAATTAGAGCGGTAAGTTTTAATAATTAACATTTTTATACAATATTTTTTGATTTGAATATTTTTAAGTATAAATTTTTATAGTTGCATTTTAGCAAGAAACAATTTTAAAAGTACCATTTTTTTTACTTGGTAAAAATGTTAGTTTAGAAATTATATTTAAAGAAATTTATTTTTGAAAATTTTTAAATAAAATGTTAGTTTGCTGTTTTTAAGTTATAAAAATTTGTCTTTTAAAAATTTAATCTTTATAAATTCTAAACGTTATAAATGATTGTTAGGAAAAATTTAAACACAAAAATTTAAGTGTACAAATTATTTTCCATAAAAAACTACAGTTTGAAATATTTGAAAAAAATTGCATAATGAAATGAAATGATACTTGTTATATTTTACCCATCAATAAATTAAGGTTTAACATTTTTTAACATTACAAATGCAAACCGATAATTTTTAGTTTAAAAATATTTAAAATAGCAAATTTTGAACTTCCACAATTTATCTAATAAATGTTAAAACGGCGCGCCATAGAAAACTTACATAAAAACAGGCCGTTGTTTTAATACTAGAATTAAAGAACATCGGACATCATTTATTAACCAAAAGCTTGATTCAGCTTATTCGGCACATCTTATTACAGAAAACCATACTTTTAATAACAACTATAAAATATTAAATGTAGAAAACAAAGGCACAAAAAATAAATCTATTGGAGTCTCTAGAAATTAATAAATTTAAAAATACTAATAATATTCTCAATGAACAAATAGAAACTAATAATTCACCACTGTTAAACCTATTTTAATGTTATCCACATACAACAAATTACACATTTAAAATATTTTCCCTCTAATAAAACTGTTAACAATAAATACATTAGGTTTTTCCCATTAGGAATTTCTTAATGCTATCCTATTTTAATATTATGTAATTCGAGACCAAATTAACTGAGAGCCACCCCAGAGATGACTACAAGGAGCTATTGCAGTTGGTTCTCATATTTGTTGGATCACTAGACGGCAATGTTGTAGGTTTTAGAACTCTAGGAGCCATTCATCACGCTAGGTGGATGGCAAAGGCTATTTACTGCTTAAAAATGTTCATTTTTCGTCGTCAATTTAAGATGTCTAAAGAAGAAGAAAGTTCTGTGCGTGCCATTTCTGTTTTCCTAGTTAAAATTTATTGTAAAGCTTGGTTCAATGCTCCAAAAGCTCATCTTGCACCAAAACAAGATTTAGGTATTTTGCATAGTCTGTTAGACTATAAAGAATGTGACAACGACATTGCAGAAATTGCCCTGACCAAATTGCAGAGTTGGTGGGATTATCTTTTTTTGATCCCACCATTACAGACGATGAACAGTTGTTAATGGCTAATAAATTGGTCAGTAGCACAGATGAACCATCAGAGCACGCTAGGGTTGTAAATCCAAAAGTTAGGAAAGAAAAATTAAAAGAGGTAGTTGATGGAGGATTGGTAAATTTACTTACCAAAGAAACATTTACATTCTTTGACCGATTTAATATAAAAACAGATTTCCTAAGACAACATCCAAACACCTGGCCTCAAAATAATGACTTCCAAGAAGGATTGAAAATTGTCAAAACATTAAAAGTAGTTAATGATTTGGCTGAGCGTGGTGTTAAATTAATAACCGACTATTCGTATTTTTGTGTTAAATAGTATTTATTAAATACAATGTTTTTTAAAGCACTGTTTTGCATTTTGGCTGCTTTTGGGTTTTAAATTTTTGATTGTGTTACACTCAACAGTAAAAATAGCTCCAAGAAGAAGCGATGTATTGTTTCATTTTGATTTTAGATTAGGTGGGTACCTATTAGGTGTATGTAACCACTTTAAAATAATACATAAATTAAATTTATTCCATCACCAATAATAAAAAGAGCGAATCAATTCAAAAATCTGTATGTTTTTTAAATATCCGCAGTTCGACAAGAAAATCCGCATTTACAAGATTCTTAGAATCTGATTGTGTTGTTTTTTCACGCAAATTAATAATAACTCGTTAGTGTCGCAAAAATAGGCAACCCAGTGTACGTCTATAATATTTGAAATGCATAGAAACATATTTTTATGCATGCAAATGTATGGGAACAAAATAGGAAACCACGTAAATCCGACAAATCCGATTATAAATCAGTGAACTAAACAAACTAGTCTTTTTTACTATTCACTTTAATGAACGAGATCGAAAGATCGAAATCAGGAAAGTGAACTAAACTTCCCACCTCTATAACGTACCTGCCGCTGCCTACCTATGTCCACTCCCGCCTTTCTGCAAGATTCGGCAGCAGTGTTGCCAGGTCTACCGTTTTTGCGGTAGATATACCGTTTTAGAGTATGACCTACCGTTCTACCGCAAAGCATTTAGTTTCTACCGCTAAACTCAATTTAATCCATTTTTAAAGTAATTATGTAACAATGTTAAATACTTTGATTCAGATTTAAGTTATAACAAAATATTAATGCAACAACTCCATGGCGGCAGACACAATTTTCTGGTCAAAGATCTGATTATCGGATGGTCCGATTATCGAAGAAGTAAAGCTCTCGCAATGAATATGTCGCACAAAAATAAAAATCTACAAAGAAGTATTGTTCGGCTAATGCATTTAAAAGAATACATAGATAGTGAATGCTTTATTTTAAAAATTGACAAACAGCTGTTGTCACATCACAACAAAGCAAAATGGATAACCGTAAATTTGTTACAGGACTGATTTTAGAAAGGCTTTTGACACGGTAGATCCGCACATACTTGTAAAAAAGCTACTACAAATGGGACTGAAAGAAAAAGCAATTGATATCTTTAAACTGTATATAAATGATCTTCAGTTTTATCATTTATTTGGAAAAATGATGGTCTATGCTGATGATACGGCTCTTTTCTATGAAAACACAAATAACAAAGAAACAGAAAACCAACTACAAAGAGATATAGATAAATTACTAAAATGGACTAATACAAATAAATTTACACTAAATAGTGCAAAATGTCACATAATAAACTTTAAAAATAAAACCAAAAACCACAACATTAGAATCACCATAAATTCAGAAAAAATTATAGAAGAAAAAAAATTAAATACCTGGGTCTTACTGTCGACAAAAATCTAAATTGGAAAAGTCACATTAGTCAGCAAAACAAAACATTCCATTTTGGGCCACAGGTAACAAAACTGAAATAAGCACATTTCAAAGAAAACAAAAAAACTATTAAAAACTTTATATAACCTAAAAAAATCTACACCAACAAAGTATATAGAATAACAAACACATTAAATATTGAAGAATTAAGGAAAATGGAAACAATAAAACAAATAAAAAAAATATTGGAAAATAATACTGCGATGAAGACTTAAATATAATCATAGGATCTGAAGTACATGGATACATGACGAGAAACAATAACAAAATCAACATACCAAGTTCAAAGACCAAAATAGGACAAAAACGAATATTGACTGAAGGTGCCAGACTCTATAATAAAAATCTAAGGTCCATTCTGACAATTTTTGTCCACTTCATGCGCATGCGCGCCAAATGCTTGAAGTTACCTTACTTTTTAGTCCACCCCACAACCCTCATTTTACAACCTCCAACCCTAACCACTTTTACCCCCTACCTTACTACCTTACCTTAATGAGTTTTAGGGGTAGTTTTCAATTTATTTTTGTGGGGCATTAAGTTAAAGAAAATTATAAAAATACTTTTTAAGTTTGAATTTTTTGTAATATTATTTGTGAAGTAAGGGATGAAAATTTTATAATAATTAATAAAGTGTTTGATTTCAATTCGAACCGCCAACCTATCGTTTCACAGTCTATTGTTCTACACACTGCTCCACGATGCCAGTTGTAAAAATCCTGCAAACGAAATACTTTAATACAATCGTATGTGTATAATTTAGATGATTAATTTCTAATATAGGTATTAGTTTTTTTAATATTTATAATATTACTTAATTAAAACTACTTTTTTATCATGAGTTTTTATAAGAAATAATTTAATCTCATTTATATTTATCAAATTTGGTAGTTGTTATTGATCATTGACCTTAATAGTTAAATATATTTAATTGAAACCACTTTTTTGTCATGAGTTTTTATAAGAAATAATTTAAATTCGCCCCATATATTTATATAATTTTTTGGTTGTTATATCGACCTTTGGTAGTGGAAATATTTAATAAATTGTAGAAAGTCGCTCGACAACCGATCCGCTGGCAGGAAATTCCCCTTGAAATATCCCCTGTAAATAGTATTTACTAAATACATAAGATCATTAAATGGCAAAAAAATATTAAATATTCAATCTAATGATTTGTATTTAAAAAAAATGAGCAGTACCTAATAAAGATACAAAATTTTATGATTTTGTGTAGTAACCAGCACGCACACATGAAAATCCCAAAGCGTCTGACCCGAGACGGGCGGCTTCTGGGTCGGCGTCTGACCCTAGAGGGGCGGCCGTATATACCACCTGGCCGTAGGTCTAAAAGGCAATGGAAGGGAAACCATTTAAAAAAAACAAACATGTAATATGGAGGATGAGAAACAGATTCCCCAGGAGGGTCCGGTTACAACGGGAATCCCTCCCTGCGCAAGCAGGCTGCCCCACGGATCTGGGGGGGGGGCACCATATCCATAAAAGATGTAAAAAACCAAAAAACCCAAAAACAAATCAACACACCCAGGAAAGCTGCCACAAGGAACCCGGGGAAGGACATACCCAGAGCAAGACGCCATCTGAAACAGAGGCGCCTGGTACGAGCAAAGGCGACACAACAAGGCCTGGCAAACCGGACGGAAACAAGGATGACGGGCTAACCCCCGAGGAGCTTTTGCTCATAAGGGCACACCAGGGCAGCAGAAAGGGTCTAGCAAGGACTCCTCCCCAAAATAGTGTAGCCGCCGCGGCGGGAACTATAGAAATAGACTCGTCCCCAGACACGGAAACGGAGATGGTATCCAAAAAGAGGAAAAAAGATGTACAGGCGAGTGAACTGGAGAAGGCGTTTAAGAAGGTGGATAACCTTGAAGGGGTTGTCCTGACAACCACGCCGACCGTCCAGACTGAGAAGAGAAAAGAAAGAAGTCTGACCGCCGAATTCGAGGAATTAGAGAAAATTAAGGAAGACTTGCGGAAGGGAAGTAGAGACCTTATGCATAAGCAGGAGGAGCTCACCAAACAGACAAAGAAAATGGAGATAGTTAAGGACCTCAAAAAGGCCCTGGATACGGAGAGAGAGGAAATTAAGATCGAGAGGGAGGAAATCAGGAAGGAGAGGAAGGAGATGAAGAAAGAGGCGGAAGCGCTGAAAAAGGAGGCTGAGACTCTCAGTCTCCAAATTAAAGCTATGGAGACCCTCAAGCAGGTTAACCGGACTCTGGAGGAGAAAGCAGCGGCACCCATAAGCTACGCGCAGGCGGCTGGGGAAGCAACGGCTCCAGGCGGCGAGGACCCATTCCGCAAGGATTGGGACAGGATCGTCACAGCCGCGAACACGCTAGGCTATCGACGGCAGTAGGGTCCCGAAACCTATGGTCACGCGGGAGCTCAGAGTGGAGGGCAGCCAGAGCTACGACCATTTTAGAGCAGTGGAGATCAGAGGGTGGCCGGCAGATAGCTTCAGGGGCACGGAGATAGTGGAGGTAAACCCAATTACCAGCACGAACGAGGAGGTGGTAGGCCTTATCATTCCCTGCGGGATGGAGGATATGGCTGAGGGGATCCTTGCAGTGGCCAGAGATCGGTTCCCGGATCTGGCCAACAACATGGAGGGGGAACAGATCCTACAAGCGGTATTTAGTATACTTATGTGTACACAACCAGAGGTGTTCGACTCTAAAGGAATTAAAGGTTTGAAAGTAAATATTTTACCTGACGCTGCTAAAATATTTGAACTGATGTTTAATTACGCCCTTTTTGAAAGCAATGACTGTTATAGGCAATGTAATACCAAAGCATTCCACAATGAATCACTGGAAAGCAAGTACTCCTGAACAGTTCCGCCGTTTTATAGGTTTATGTATGCTAATGGGAAACATTTAAGGTGCTGATCCACCGGAGTGCAGTACACGTATTGCACAGTTAGTCACAGTACGCGCACAAATGTTTCTAATGGTGGATACAAAATAATGAACACGCACAAAATGTTCGCGCACACATGTTCGAGCTCGTCAGTTTTGCTTCCGATCGCAAAGCGTAAACATTTGTGTGTTTTAAAAACTAATTTGTATGATGGAGTGGAGCAACGATAAAATTATTGAATTTATACAAGCGGTTGAAATGTCTCCTGTTAGATGAAATGCATCATTATCTGATTACAAAAATCGTAATAAGAAACACGATACATTCCTTAAGTTTGCTAAAACGTTTAACTGCGATACAACTGAAATATCTAGGGAGTGAAAAATAATTTTGGCACAGTTAAGGCGTGAAAAACAAAAAATTAATTCGTCAAAAACATCAGGTGCTTCTAATATATATAAATCAAAATGGTTTGGATTCCAGCATCTGGATTTTCTACAATAAAAAGATGATCCCAATGATAGTGTTAATTCACTGGATGAAATGAACTCACAGGTAAGTGTTAAATATATTTTTATTAATTTTTATGTTATAATATTCAATAGTCGTTAAGTTATGCTATAGTATCTTGCCAGGACACCATTCCAATTTCTGTTTTAAAATATTTCGCAAATTCTTCTCTAATTTCTTTTGCATCTACGACTGATATGTCTTAATGGGAATAGATTCGAAACGGGGGTATTATCTCGCCTCCATGATCCCTCAATGATGTTATGACTAGTCTGATTCTCATGATCAGGTGCCAGGTGTACAGTAAAGTCTTGAAGAAGTTTTTGTTTTTCTCAAATAATTATAAATATAAATACATGTCACTGTTATAATTTAAGCATTCTTCGGATTTAGTAAAATAGGTTTTCTTAAAACGCGAAACACTGAAGACAGAATTCCAAAGGCATTTTCTACTATTCTCTTAGCTCTGCTTAGTCGATAGTTAAAAATTCTTTCTTTTGTTCCTTTATTGTGAATACCAGTATATGGTTTCATAATGTTTACACCTAATGCAAACGCATCATCAGCCACAATTATATATGGCATTGGTTTCTCCCTTCCTGATAAATTATATGGCATTGACAAATTTAATTGTCCATGTCGAAGTTTTTCATAGAGGTTAGTATTTTTGAAAATTCCACCATCGGATATTCTTTCTTTACATCCAATGTCCACATATGTAAACATATAATTAGGATCAACCAAAGCAAAACTTATAGTTGAAATAATCACTGCCTGTATTACTTGGTGTTTGAATCATAATATGTTTTCCGTCCATCGCACCCATGCAATGAGTCTAAATTCCATAGATCGTTGAAATCGCGTTCAACTACCATCCATTCCTCCTGTATTTTTGGTAACTAAAACAATCATTTTTTTTAGTTATCAGGAATGCTTGATGATGATGACAGGAACGAAGTTAGCGATGAAATGCAAGTGGAAGAATCACAAACTACCATGCCGAAAATATTCAAGTCGCCAAAAACCAACGTATAACGACGTCGCGAAAATTAACGGGACATAGAAGTGTCAGAAGCTTTTAAAATTTTACATAGCGTAAATCAGAATGTGCAACAGAAAAATAAGATAAATCAGATAAATATGATATTTTTGCATCAAGCGTTGCATGAAAATTAAGAAAAATATCTAATGAACGTGTTCAACTTTTGGTACAAAGAGATATTGATAACTTGTTATACGATGCACTAATTGAAACGGGTAAATATAACATCACTCCAATACCATCACCATCATCAGAGAGTGAACCATTTTGTCCTTCGCATACTTCATCTTCTGGAGACTACATGACAGACTCTTCTACTTCTACTGATACTTAGTATTTGAATATAAATTAAAAATAGTAATGTATATTTTCAAGTTTCAATTAATAAAAATAATTACATTTTCCTCCAATGTACATATTAGGACCTGACATACTTCTCAAATAATACGAGATATAAGCTGCCTTGAATAGGTACATTAAACTGGTGTAGGAGTCTCCAGTTGCAAGGTATCTTAATGTTATTGCAAGTCTCACTTCGACGGAAACACATTTCCTGTAATTTGTGTTTTTTTACCTATTTGTGGCCCAATAAGATTTATTAAATTATCAAAATCTTGGCAGGCAATACGTAAAACTTATATTTCCAAAAACTAAAACTTTGTTTTTTAAAAATTTTATTTATATTTATTTTATAACAACTCGAAACAAAGGTTGACATAAAAATGTTTGTAAAACATGTAGTACATATATAAGTTCGGTTTGCTGACCAAGCTCCTGGGTGCTTGGTTGGCGTTTTTCTGGGAACTGCTATATAATACCTCCCTCAGTAGTTCCGAGACTCCGGTGAAGGATTAAATTTGGATTTCGTTGACATCGAACGGGGTTGATTGTGAAGAAGCAATGTTTGTTTCGACATTATTATGTCTCCTCGTTGGTTGGATATATTTCTTATAGGCAAAGAAAGTCCCAAATAGAATAATTATGACGTACAAAATTATTGTTCCGGAAAGGTGCCAAGTGTTGTTTATTTTTAGGGGTTCCAAATATTGTAAGTTGCTGGATAAATCGGTTGTACCAAGATTTTTTAGTTTTAATGGTGGAAGTTCCAAATTTCTTAATTTTGTGGGTAATATGGTAGTTTCTAATATTATTGGCTGTCCTGTTGTACTATCATTGAAAAATAGTAATTGGTCTTCTATGAATATTTCACAGTTGTCTTCATTTTTGAACAAGAATATTCCATTTATTTGTTTGAATTCTTGGGATTGTTGGCAATTAGTTTTAAACGAAATTTTGTTAGGAAACGCTCCAAAATATTGATTAATTTCTGGTATAAATTCTATTATTTTTTCTTCTTTAAGTTGAGTAAAATGGCATTCACTGATGTCATTTTTATTAAGTATGTTTGCTTCACATGATATATTTACAAAGGTTTTTAATTTTCTCGAGCAAAAATATTGGTTGGCTAGTTTGTCACAAATAGTCGCTAGGGAAACTAACTCAGATTCAGACTTAATTATATATCTGGTTGATGGAATTATCGTTTGGAAGTTTTTATTTGGGATGGGCATAAAATAATACAATTGAAAAGATTTAGAACTAAACAAAGGGATTGTAAGAAAATAATTTACTTCGTAATTACTTATAAAACATTTGGTTTTTATAATAGATTTATAGTTTTTTATATTATTGACTGAAAATGGAAGTTTATTTTTAAAATAGGGCGATATTTTAGAAAGTTCGTTAAATAGGTCTTCGTCAGAGATTATACTTGGGTGAATAATATTTAGGTTACAAAATAATAGAGAGTTTTCTATGTTTTGAAATTCATTAAGAACAACGTCAAAAAGGTGAATAAACTGATTTAGGGTATCTTTAGTAAATAGAATATCTGTATGAGAATTTGTATCATTAATTATATTTTCTAAAACACTTATTCTGGACATAATAACTTGTTCGTTGTGCTGTACGTCGTTAGCGGTTTTATTAAATTTACTTATAATTATAATTATAATTTGTTTATTAATAGAGAATTGGTTATTAATTTGTTGTATTAGATTATTTTCAGTTTGTTTTATTAAATCAAGTGAATATTTGATTTGTTTGTCATCTTCGGAATCCATGTTACCAGTTATTTGTTTAATTACGGTGCCTAATCCGTTAATTAGTCCCCTTTTCGATCGTTGGGAGTTTGAAAATAATGTTAATTTTTGACTAATAACGTTAATTTTATAATTAATGATTTTAAAATAGTTTTGCATTTCCTTTTGATATATTTTACTTTTATCGGCTATATTTACAATGATTTGATATTGATGTGATAAAGTTTTAAAATTATTTATTAAAGAAGTTAAATCGAGATAATGTATGAAAGTGTGTGAAAAATTCTGTAACTTGGCTTCTCCCAGTTTTATCGGTAGAATACCGGGGTTATTTGATATGTCTCTTTGAGATAGTACTATTGCGGTCCATTGGACGAAGAAGTACCTGGAACAGGAGAATTATTTTTAGTGGGACGTTTTATATTACTCATGTGTAATTTTGTATATTTTCGACCAGTTTTGGATTCTATAATTTTTGGTTTAAAAGTTTTACGCGCTGGGTTAGTTGACACAACAGTCTCTTTTTTATATTTGTTTCGCTGTTTAGATCTAAAATTACTTTTTACAAATATTTTTTGGGGTATTTCCGGGATTTCTTCGCGATTTTCATTTAATTTGCTTATTGTTTTAATTTTGTTTTCAGACAATCGACTATTTATAACTTTATTTAGGATTTTTATTTTTTCCTTATGGCTATTTATATAATTATTAAGAATTTTAGCTTCTAAATCAAGGTCTAAAATGTTTTGCATGTCGTAATTTAAAATTTCGAAAGGCGACATTTTTGTAGACGAGTGAATCGAACTATTATAGGCTATTGTAGCAAAAAGTGCTTTAATTTTT